TCACCTTAAAATGTGATACGAGATCCAACACGGCAAATTTATTTTCAACGTTGAATTTTATCATGATTAAAAGATTGTTGTCACTGCTTTCAGCACTGTGCGCAGCACATATTAAACTGTATTAATCAAAATCAGTGCTAGCCACAATACAATGGAAAACTCAAAACAGTCACTAATTTTGCCACCAGTTTTTGTGAATTTTTATGTCATTACATCAGTCAGTCATGGTTCTTACGTGAACATTAAATGTAGATGTATAATTAAGGAGGCTTGTTTCATTTGCAAATTTTATTTCGGATTATTAAGAATCAGATGTATCCCTAAATTCAGTATTTTATTGATGTGTTGGTGGTCACGGTAAAAACAGTGCAAAACGATTAACACAACGCAAATAATTTGGTCAACTGGATGATTGATGATTAATACCGAATTTCTAACGGGTCTTCAGTGTATGTAGTTGGTTAAGATTGTGAAGTCTTCCTTGATTTCCGCAACGGTTCAGATGTTCGGAGCCAATAAACGAGTTTCTGGTCTGTGCTGCCTGTTGAGTAGTTTCTTAGCCGAAGGGGCTTCAAAGCTTATCCAATCCGCAGAGATGTTCGTATCCGTCGTCTCAAGGTTGAAAGATAAATGCGTCCTTGACAGTCCTGTTCAGTTCACAGAAGCAGTATAAGTTCTATCTAGCGCTCCAGTAGCTAGGTTATTGTAGAAACATCGATGACTTCTTTCGAAATCAGAAGCGGCGATGGAAGATGAAAATGATGATATCCAACCCATTGGTTTCTCAGACGGATTTAGGTGATGTTATTGGCTGCGCCAATGGTCATATTTCTCGTCGCAAGCAAGTTCGCCTCTAGCAGCTGCTTTAAGGTGCGATGTTGCGGCCATTCTTTGCTTCCCAGAGAAAAATGGTTATGGATGTTTCCATTCTCTCCCCGGATGATTCAGTCAAACAACAACAGATGCCGGTTCATAATTTTTTCATACAGCATTCACGAACTGGTCGTTTTTAAGATCTTCATATTCCATGACCGTTTCTCCCTTCAGGTCGCGGAGGCAGACACGTCAGACCGTGCTTCCAGCGTTCCTGATACTGTGCGAGAGACTGAGCTTCGGCAGAACACGACTGCAGTCTGGAACATACTCCAATATATTTGCACCAGGTTAATCTTGGCCGTCCCCTGGACCTTCTACCGGTCGGCTTCCCAAGAAAGAGTTCCTTAACCTTCCATTCTGGGCGCATTCGCAACACGTGCTCAAGCCATCGCAGCTGTGACTTCTCAATCTGGAGAAGCAAAGGCTGTAATCCAAGGCTCTTCCGGA